TGCAATCTTATTTTCCTTTAGATGCCCAAGAAAGCGTAAAATGTTATTGCCCATGTGTTAGCTGCTGCCAGATTAAGAATGGTCATGTACTGGAGGACTCTCATTGTAAATCTCTTTGAAGCTTAGATGTCAGAGATATGGGATTCTATACTTAAGGACAAACTAACAGCCTTACAAACTTTTATTGAATATGCACAAACCGTCAAGCATGGCTTCCAGCCACCAGCAACACACCAAACATTAAGGAATATCACTTTCATCCCACTGCTGTAATATATATCCAGTAAACCACAGCTGGGATTGCTCCTGTTATATTTTTCCCATTTTTGTGATGGTTCTGTACTCCCAACCTGTTGTTGTTGTTATTTTTGATATTTCTTTTCTCCTTTTTCAGATCCAATTCATTTGTAACTGAAAATCAATAAAATACAATTTTTGAAAAAGGAAAAAAGTCACATCTCCAATGCTGTGTCATGTTGGGGAAAGTCAAATATTAAGGAAGTTGCCTCAGGAAGAGGAGTGGCAGGGGAAACGCAAGCACCAGTCCTATGAAGAGATCCTCTTTCTGTAAGATTAGGTAAGGGGGCCTGTGGCAGAGGAAAGGCGACACATGCAGTCATTTGTCTTCCTGTAACTACAGGCCCTGGATTAGTGAAATGAGAATGTGCAAACTTGAGAGGGAAACATTGCTAGCTCCAGGCTCCTTCCCCACTGTGGCAGCCACTCATACTCTGGGTTAATTTTCTGAGGCATTTTTGAGAATTCTGGCTCTCCCGCTCTCTTCGTCTTGCCCCTGCCACAGAACCACATAAGACAAGCCTGCTGGATCAGGCCAAGCCCATCAAGCCCAGTATCCTGCTCTTCTTACCTTGGCCAACTAGATGCCAGTGGGAAGCCAGTAAGCCAGAAATGAGAGGAGCAGCACTTTCCCATTTGCTATTGGCAACAACTGGTATTTAGAGGCATACCTCCTGTCCACTTCTTTCCAAAGAAAGCTGGCTTGGATTCTGTAATGAGCTGCCTGAATAATGCCTCTGACAGCAGAGGAACAGCATAGCCATAAGGGCTAAGGGACCCCTGACCCTTAAGTCCAGTCGTGGCCGACTCTGGGGTTGCGGCACTCATCTCGATTTATTGGCCAAGGGAGCTTCTGGCAAACCAGAGCAGCGCACGGAAACGCTGTTTACCTTCCCGCCGGAGCGGTACCTATTTATCTACAGTACTTGCACTTGCTTGCTTTCGAACTGCTAGGTTGGCAGGAGCAGGGACTGAACAATTGGAGCTCATGCCATCATGGGGATTCGAACCGCCGACCTTCTGATCGGCAAGCCCTAGGCTCTGTGGTTTAGACTACAGCGCCACCCACATCATCTCAGCCATAAGAGCTAGTAGCCACTGAAAGCCTTGTCCTCCATGAGTGTGTCCAATCCTCCTTTAAAGCCATCAAAGTTGGCGGCTACCACTGCCTCCTGTGGCAGTGAGTTCCATAGTTTAGCTATGCACTGTGTGAAGCAGTTTATCTGCTCTGCATTTTCAAATACTCAGCTTCATTGGATGTCCATGGGCTCTAGTGTGTGAGAGGGGTGTCTACTCACTTTCTCAATGCCGTGTGTAATTTTATAAACTTCTATTATGTCACCTCTCCCTTTAAACAGTCGCAAATGCTGCAACCTTTCCACATAGAGGAGTCACTCCACCCCAATCTTTTTGGTTGTCCTTTTCTGAACTGAGCAAATAACATTACCGAACTCAGTGAAAGCCAAAAGTGATCTAGTTTTCTCTCTGTCTCTTTTTGAAACCATTTTTATTTTACAAATGTAAATTAATTACAATATCAAATACATAGCCATAAAATGAGATTTCTCTGAACCTCCAGACTCCCCCCCCCCAATCCCATTCATGGGTCCTATTGTCAACATTTACAAGAGGAATAAATGGAGGCAGTGAGAGGTTTTACTTTCTTGGGGTCCATGATCACCGCAGATGGTGACAGAAGACACGAAATTAAAAGACACCTGCTTCTTGGGAGAAAAGCAATGACAAACCTAGACAGCATCTTAAAAAGCAGAGACATCACCTTGCCAACAAAGGTCCGTATAGTTAAAACTATGGTTTTCCCAGTAGTGATGTATGGAAGTGAGAGCTAGACCATAAAGAAGGCTGATCGCCGAAGAATTGATGCTTTTGAATTATGGTGCTGGAGGAGACTCTTGAGAGTCCCATGGACTGCAAGAAGATCAAACCTCTCAATTCTTAAGGAAATCAGCCCCGAGTGCTCACTGGAAAGACAGATCCTGAAGCTGAGACTCCAATACTTTGGCCACCTCATGAGAAGGGAAGACTCCCTGGAAAAGACCCTGATGTTGGGAAAGATGGAGGGCACAAGGAGAAGGGGACGACAGAGGACGAGATGGTTGGATAGTGTTCTCGAAGCTACCAGTATGAGTTTGACCAAACTGCGGGAGGCAGTGGAAGACAGGAGTGCCTGGCGTGCTCTGGTCCATGGGGTCACGAAGAGTTGGACACAACTAAATGACTAAGCAACAACAAATTATTTCATAGTCTATGCTTTGTATCTATCCATATCGTCCGTAGTAGTTGTTACATTACAAGTGAGATTAAAATCCTGATAATGTTTTCATCTGCTTACAGATGTGGTGTCCTAAATAAATTATAAACTTCTCCCATTCTTTCTTGAATTTCTTGTCTTCCGGAGTTTTCCGGTCAGTTTTGCCATTTCAGCCTAGGCTAACAGCTTAGTTTGCCATTCCTTCTTTCTGTCTCTGGGCTAGTAGCATCCATGCTGCTGTTTTCGCATACATAAAGAGACTTTTATGTTCCTTTAGAATGTTGGTACCTATAATTCGTAACAGAAAGGCTTCTGGTGATATAGTTAACCTCTGAGGAGAACGCAGCTAAGGATAGCTCAGTTGGTAGACCACAAGACTCTTATTCTCAGGGTTGTGGGTTTGAGGCCCACCTTGGGCAAAAACCAAGCAAACTCCTACATTGCAGGGGGTTGGACTAGATGACCTGCGTGGTCCCTTCCAATATTGCAAGTATATATGAAAGCACATGATCCGCTCCAAGCTGATTTTGCAAAATATGACTGCAGCATAGTAGGGGAAAAGGGAAGTGGCTTGCGAGGCACTTCCAGCGCTGCTCAGCTGTGCATCACAGAGTATGTGCACATCAAAGGGGAGAACAGTGTTGCAGAGCCATGTTGCAGCCTCCCTCCAAGATCTTCATTCCGGGGACAGAACACATCTTGGGAGACACAGGACACTGGACCACGGGGCTAGGTGCTCCTTCATCATGAGGCTCTCTTTCAACATCCTCTTTATCGGTTGGTATCTCAGATGAAAGGGTGAAGGGACTGAGGGTTGTGCAACGGCCGGGTTGAAGGACAGGAGACCCAGTTGTGGTTCCTGCTGCTCAGCTACATTGCCACTAATGCAATCATCTCCTTTCCAGGATTCCTGCTGGTTGGACAGTGGCAGATCTCTGGAGGTGAGTCTCTTCGTGTGATAAATATGAACATGGGGCCAGGGGGAGATGGATGGGGGCAGAATGAGAGCTAACTGTAATGATTTCCCCCCCAACCAAATCTGATTTCCTAATATCTGCATTATAACCATAGAGGCCTACGAAACGTTCTCCGATCTATACAAATATTAAAGCTACAGGAACATCCCATCCCTATTTATTTCTCTCTCTTTTTTGGTCAAAAAGTACATTTATTGATTTTTCAATTAGGTATTTTTTTAAAAAAACAAACCAACACTGTTTAAAATTGATTATACAAAAAATAAAATTGTAACAATCCAAATGCATATTGATATACTGTACAGTGGAACCTCAGCTGTCGAAAGTTGAACATTTCAGCTTTCAAACGACAACCTGGAAGTGAATAGTTTTCGAACACGCCTCAGAAATTCAATGGATTTTGCCAACTGGCAATTGCGCATCGGTTGTCAAACATTTTGGAAGTCAAACGGTCTTCCGGAACAGATTACGTTTGACTACTCTGAATCTCGAGACTTCTCCCCACCCCCTCCATGGGTCCTATTGTCAACATTTACAACTGCATAGTATTTCATAATCTATATTTTATATCAATCCATATTATCCATGGTATGAACCCCATCCCTATTTCTTTGCCTTTAGACAATCTACACACAAAATGCAATTCCCCCAGTGTAACCTTAGACTGAGCAACTAGACATGATGGCAACCTTCTCCCTGCACGGTCAGAGGCAGGATACCTGTGAATAACAGTTGCTAAGAATCACAAGTATGGAGAATGCTCTGCTGCTCTCAGTCCTGCTCCTGGACTTCCCACAGACATCTGGTTGGCCCCTGGGGGAACTTGCATGACAAAGCTCAAGTAGATGCAGTAGAAGAGAGTGCCTTCTACCAACTCATTCTGATAGGCCAATGAGGTGGCCATTACAGAGGACAGTCCTCTCTTTCAAAAGCCGTCCAAGTTCAGTTTTGAAAACCATAAGAAAGGAAAGCAGGAGGGGGTCTTGACGTTGCCCACCCACCATGAGCAGCTGAACACACAGCTCACCTGACCACAGTCTTCCCCACTAGGGTGGAAATAATGCATTTTCATTTAAAAAATAGTAATTACTGTCGTGCCTTGGTTCTTGAATGGAATCCGTCCCGGAAGTCTGTTCAACTTCCGAAAATGTTCAAAAACCGAGGCATGGCTGCAAAAACCGAGGCATGGCTGCAAGAGCTTCCTGCACTCAATTGGAAGCTGTGCTGGACATTCAGCTTCCAAAAAACGTTCGCAAACCAGAATACAGTACTCACTTCTGGGTTTGCGGCATTCGGGAGCCAAAACATTCGAGTCGCAAAGCATTTGAGAAGCAAAGTACGACTGTATTTATAAATGTGGATCTTCCCATATAAATTAGCATGTGGTAAAGTCAGGGCCTTCTTTTGTCTTCCTCTTTGGTGATCCATCTTCCAAATCTCACCTTTGTTCTCCTGTTTCGGTCCAGGACAAACTTACCCTAAACCTTCCATCTCAGCGGTTTCCACAAATGTGGTCAGCCCGGGGGGAAATATCATCTTACGGTGTGCAAGTGATTACCGTCATGATGCAATCTACTATCTTCACAAAGATCCACCAATTCTTTATTCAGCATATTGGAATAGTGAGTGGGGTGCAGTTGTATTTCAGATTGCCAATGCAAGAATTTCAGATGGTGGAACCTATACGTGTAGCTATTGCTTAAAACCAGTTTATCAACAATGGTGCTCATATCGTAGTGATCCTGTCCAAGTCTACATAAAAGGTGAGAGTCTGGCTTAGCCTTTTTATGCTATTTTCACAACTGACATGTAAGGGGAAGGGGGAAAGAGAGAGACATTATGCTGGCCATCAGGCAATGGGTTTTTGCACCTGCCTTTTCCCTCCCTCCAGCCCTAGCAGCCTTTTCCAGATCATGACTTTAAGAACAGCAGAAGCAGCTGGGAAGAGAGAACTATCTGACTTAAACAGCTATCTGACTTTTAGAAGATAGCTGAAGGCCGCCTTGTTTTGGGAAGTTTTTAATGTTTGATGTTTTAATGTGTTTTTAATATTCTGTTGGGAGCTGCCCAGAATGGCTCGGGAAACCTATAAACATATAAAAAATATGTTGTTGTTGTTGTTATCAAGAGTTTTCCACAAGTACTAGATGTTGCCATAAATTCAACAGAAATGCCATAAATTCAACAAAATTTCTTAACCAGTGCTTTTCTTTGAAGGGGCAAAAACGTGCCAGTACTGCGTGCCCTTAAGTACCTCCAGGAAAAAGCACTGAGAGTCTTAAATAAAAATTGTAATCACACAGTTAGATACACATTACACATAACACCGGTCCTGAGAGAGGTGCATTGGCTCCCTACGTTTCCGAGCACAATTCAAAGTGCTGGTGCTGACCTTTAAAGCCCTAAACAGCCTCGGTCCTGTATACCTGAAGGAGCGTCTCCACCCCCATCGTTCAGCCCAGACACTGAGATCCAGCGCCGAGGGCCTTCTGGCGGTTCCCTCATTGTGAGAAGTGAGGTTACAGGGAACCAGACAGAGAGCCTTCTTGGTAGTGGTGCCCACCCTGTGGAATGCCCTCCCTTCAGATGTGAAGGAAATAAGCAGCTATCTTCTTTTTAAAAGACATCTGAAGGCAGCCCTGTTTAAGGAAGTTTTTAATATTTAATTCTGTATTGTTTTTAACACTTGATTGGAAGCCGCCCAGAGTGGCTGGGGAAACTCAGCCAGATGGGCGGGGTATAAATAATAATAATAATTATTATTATTATTATTATTATTATTATTATTATTATTATACACATCATATTCAGTGTAGATGCAGATAAGACCAATGATCCCAAATACTTGGTTCTTAACTCTTTCTACAGCGTTCATTGAGATAGGCAACAGAAATATACAGTAACTCAGCTTATAAGATTTCCTGGATCTGCCACACTGAACTGCAGCAAACAGTCACTCTTCTCAGGAACCCGTCTCCCACCTAGCCTGGCCAATGATGGGTGTTGTAGGCGTGCGGAAGGTGCCAGGTCACCCCAGTGGCGTAGCGTGGGGGGTGCAGGGGGGGCCGGCCGCACCGGGCGCAACATCTGGGGGTTAGGGTTAAGGGGCGCAAATCCACGGGTTAGGGGGCGCAAATTACTTGCCTTGCCCCGGGTGCTGACAACCCACGCTACGCCACTGGGTCACCCATCTCTAAACTGAAGTTGTAAACAAAAAACTTAGAAGCATCAAGATCTTATGAACCTTTACCCTCTGATCCATCCTCGGGATTTTGCATTCTCCCAGAACATGCAAACTTCTCCCATATGACAGACTGTTGCCTGGGGCTGATTTGAGAAGGCTGAACTGCCTCTTTGAAATCTCACCCTTGTTCTCTTCCATGTGCAGGAAAGCTGCATCCCAAGCCTTCCATCGCAGTGAATTCAGATGAAACGCTTGCCGAAAAGGGGAATGTCAAAATCAGCTGCAAGGCAGAAGACAACTTACTATTCTTGTTCTCTTTGTATATACAAGTGGGTGCAGATAGGCAGCAGAGAAAACTGACAGAGAAAACAGCCACAAAGGAGGCTGTGTTTGCCTTTGACAATGCCCAAGAATTCCAAGGGGGTCTCTACCAATGTAGATATTGCTACATAACAGACTTCGTTGAATGGTGCTCAGATTTCAGTGACAGCCGACGCATCAACAGAATAAGTAAGGTTCAAAATACATCCTCCTATTGTCACAAAAGGGTCTGAAATGGGAGTGTTCTGTCTTTTCAACATCTGTACATCCAGTGGAGAATTTGCATAGAATATAATATTCCAAATTGGCTGGGATTGAAGGAGGGAGTGTGGTGTGCATGGCTCTTGGAAATTTCTGAAGAAAGCTGCAGGAAGGTGTTTGTAGAAGTTGTAGTGTTAAAACAGAAAGGTGTCAAACCATCGCAAGAGGTGTTGAAATTTTGGGAGGTTGGATAGTTACAATGGAATGGTCTCGGTGGTGGGGTGCACATTTTTATTCTTATTTATTTATGATTATTACTTTGGATACATAGATAGACAGACAGACAGACAGACAGACAGACAGACAGATAGATAGATGATAGATAGATAGATAGATAGATAGATAGATAGATAGATAGATAGATAGATAGATATAGATACAGTGGTACCTCGCAAGACGAATGCCTCGCAAGACGAAAGAGTTTTCCGTTTTTTGAGTCGTTCCGCAAGACGAATTTCCCTATGGGCTTGCTTCGCAAGACGAAACGTCTTGCGAGTTCTTCCTTCCAGTAGCACCTTAAAGACCAACTAAGTTAGTTCTTGGTATGAGCTTTCGTGTGCATGCACACTTCTTCAGATACTTCTTCAGAAGTGTGCATGCACACGAAACTCATACCAAGAACTAACTTAGTTGGTCTTTAAGGTGCTACTGGAAGGAACTTTTTTATTTTGACTATGACAGACCAACACGGCTACCTATCTGTAATTGCGAGTTCTTGCGAGTTTGTTTCCTTTTTCTTAAAGCCGCTAAGCCGTTAATAGCCGCTAAGCCGCTAATAGCAAGACGAAAAAACCGCAAGACGAAGAGACTCGCGGAACGGATTAATTTCGTCTTGCGAGGCACCACTGTAGATAGATAGATAAATAGATAGATATAGATAGATGATAGATAGATAGATAGATAGAGAGAGAGAGAGAGAGAGAGAGAGAGAGAGAGATGATAGATGCAGACTAGGAAGGAACCTTTGTCCTTCCAGATGTTACTGGGTCCTAGAAAGTGTAGCAAATGTAGGTCCATAACATCTGGAGGGCCAATAATTCTCTACAACTGCTCTAGACATTTTTAACTAAAGACAAAACAGTAGCAGTCCCTACGTACAGCCATTTTTTCATAAGCAAAGAGCCATTCTAAGCATTTTTTAATTATGTGTTAAAAGTCAGTTTGCTTGTTTGTTTGTTTGTTTGTTTGTTTGTTTGCTAAATTTATATACTGCCCTATACCCAGAGGTCTCAGGGCGGTTCACAGAAAAAGATCACAATATATAAAATCAAAATAAAGACAGTAACCCAAATAACCCCCACCTACCCCCCAAAAGAGCCACATTTTAAAAGGGCATAGTTCTAGTTTGCAGATATTTCTGCTGATCTGATCAAAAGCAGCAGAGTGTGTGGAAGAATATCAAGCCATACCATTCTCACAGTCTTTTATTTGCACCCAGATCCCAGCCTGTCCAAACCCTCCATCAAAGTGCTACCCGACGAACGTATTTCCCCAGGACAGAATATCACCATCGAGTGCCAGGGGCCAGAAAAGGGTCTGAACTTCTCCCTCTACAAATCCGGGGAACTGATAACATCGCAGGTGACGGAGTCAGAGAGAAACAGAGCCGAGTTCCCTTTCTTCAACGTGGGGTTGGAAGATGAAGGAAACTACACCTGCCAATATCACCGCCGGGGAAATCCCTTTGCCTGGTCAGAGCCAAGTAATGCCACGGAGCTGGTTGTAAGAGGTGAGAAGATTGGTTGGGTACTTGTCTTTCCCCTGCCGTCCAAGTCTCGCTCCCTGTTGTGGAGGAGGCAGGAGCTTCAAGGGGCCTGAGACTCACACTGCAAGGGAGGAGGGGAAGCACCTCTTAGCCTCCGTCGGCACCACTTCTCTAAAAGCAGGATCAGAAATGAAACGGGATTGCATTCGAAAGGGCATATTATCATTTGCATCCCATGTTAGTCGCAGAGTGTCCCAACTTGACCGGGAGAAAGACTCTCAGGACCTTGCTCTGCCTGAGAAGTTGGAAAGAGATAGCCAAACAAAGTTGATTGTCAGATTACTGGTCCTTTTGGCTCAATACTGGTGACGGGCATGGCCATGGATGATGGGAGCTGGCAGTCCAGGTGAAACTCGGAAAATTAGAATATCAATAATATAATAATAATATTAAAAATCTCAGAAAATTACTGTGCTTGATTGGCCAGCAAACTCGCCTGACCTGAACCCCATAGAGAATCTATGGGGCATTGCCAAGAGAAAGATGAGAGCCATAAGACTGAGCAATGCAGAAGAACTGAAGGCTGCTATTGAAGCATTCTGGTCTTCCATAACACCTCAGCAGTGCCACAGGCTGCGAGCATCCATGCCACGCCGCATTGAGGCAGTAATTGATGCAAAAGGGGCCCAAACCAAGCACTGAATACATATGCATGCTTCTACTTCTCAGAGGTCCAATGTTGCTCTATTTGCAATCCTTATTTTGCTGATTTCATTTAATATTCTAATTTTCTGAGATTGTTAATTTGGGGTCTTCATCAGCTGTACGCCATGATCATCACAATTATAACAAATAAAGGCTTGACGTATCTCGCTTTGCATGTCATGAGTCTACCTCATATATTAGTTTCACCTTTTAAGTTGAATTACTGAAATAAATGAACTTTTCCATGATATTCTAATTTTCCAAGTTTCACCTGTAGATGAGGGGTCAGCAACACGGTGCCTTGCAGTATCCCTTCCCACCCTCCATTGAAATTAGGCTTCCAAAAGCTGTGTCCAGTAGAATAGGTTGCAGTGTGTGCTTGGTTGTGAGCTGCCCGTGCCAGTTTCTCTGGTTTGTGCCCAAAAAGGTTGGTGACCCCTGCCTGGGTTGGACTAGATGTCCCACAGGGCCCATTCCAACCCTGCAATTCTATGATTCTATGACAGCAGGTTTGTTTCAGCTTCTGACACAGCCTGCAGGTGCTAAGTTAAAACATCCACAGTGCTGGCACTCAAGACGTGAATTATTTTGCAGATATGCCTGAAGAACCCAAGACAATAATATGGGCCAGCATTGCAGCAGGCCTTCTCCTTCTTCTCCTCTTCCTGCTCCTGCTTATCTTTGTACTGTACAGGAAAAGAAGAAAAGGTGAGTGGACCTCTGAATGCGGAAAAATTTTGCTACCTTGAGTTGGACATGTGTTGTGTGTTTTTGGCCCCATATAAAAGAAGAGTCTTCTTTAAAGGGGGAGGGGTGTCGTTATACCTGCAAATAAAGTTTAAATGTGAAATCTTAATTCTAGAGCTTTTGCAGCACTTGCCTTACAGTGCAAAGTGCAATCCTGCACATGTTTAAACTGAAAAAAGCTAAGTAACCATTCAGTGATTACTAGAATAGTAAATTCTCATTTGAAATGAAGCCAACGTGTTGCAAAGACTAATCCTATGCATGCTTCCGCATAAATGTAAAACTTGCCCTCTCCTTTCTCTTGCCAAATTGTGCACTTTCAACTCATGGTGAAAGCAGCTGTTAGCCAACATGCCATTCTGACTGTGACATCCTTCTCACTAAGCTAAATGAAAGCAGGGAGACAGGAGGCCACTGCCCCCTAGTGCCCGGAAGGCTGAAAGACAGAAAGTGTGAATGTGTGGAGGCTAAGCTGTAATATGTAACTGTGTGTTTTTCTACTAAGCAACAGTCCTTCCCTACTCAAAGTTATTTTATTGGCACATCAGTACATTTTTTCAAGTCTATGTAACTCAATAGCATACACTTCCCTTTATTGAGATTCAAGTCAGATTTCAGCATGATAGATCAGAATGCTTAATGATATGTGCTTCCTGGGTATAGTCACCTGAAGAAAGTTTAATTGCAAACTAATATTTGACTGGCATCATTGAATCCATTCCTGTTGCCCAAGTATATTTACATTGTATCCATGCATTATATGACTTGGCTTTTATTTATTTATTTTTAGTTTTTGTTAATTTTTTAATGAAACACATTTATTTATAGAAATGGAAAATTGCTGCAGGGAAATATAGCTGTGGAATTTATTTTTCCATGGGGGCGGGTGTGGATTACCTTCCATTTCATAAAATTTCTAGCATTCCTCACTGGTAATCTTGGAGAGCATTTATGGCCCAAGAAGCTCCCTCCACTAAGAGGAAGTTCAACATTTTGGGGGACGGGGCAGGGAATGATCAGTATTGCTAGTTCTAATTTGAAATAGACAAGGCAGCTAATTTCATAATTATCTATCTGATCTACAGGTTCCACTGCCAATGAAATGCCTCAAACAATGAACACGGTAAGAAAAATTCCTAGGAACAAACACCTTTATCATTATTGTGAACTTCCTGTTAAATCCCAACTATTATTAGAAAAGCATATGTCTCCATTTTTTATATACAGTATTTAGAAATAGTTTAATAGTCCATGTTTCGTGGCCAAGCAATGCCAATGTACAGTAAAAACATCAGTATCCTATGTGGGAAAGGGCTATTGTGCTCATTCTGCTTGTGGGCATTTGATGGGCAACTGGGGGAAGCAGGATGCTAGACTAGATGGGCTTTTGGTCTGATTCAGCAGAGCTGTCACATTCTTAATTAATCAGCACCAACCCATCCTTCTTACTGGGGATGAAACAGACATGGGAAACACCTTCTGAAGCCTCTAGCCTTCCAGTTATTTTGAACTACAACTCCCACAGACCCCAGTCAACATAGCCAATATCTGGTTGATGGGAGTTGTAGTTCAAAGCGTTTGGAGGACAAGCTGTAGAAGGCATAGCTGTCAACTTACAGATTTGAAAATAAGGGACCAGCAGCCAAAATAAGGGACCTGCAGCCTCACCTGTTCCAGGCACTCCAGTCTTCCTGTCCTCCTGCAGTCTGGTCAAACTCATGCTGGTAGCTTCAAGAACACTGTCCAGCCAACTTTGTAACCAGAGGTTCAACTGAATAGAATCTGAATCACATGCACCACAAGGCCTATGCAGCCTCAACTTAAGATGGCTCCCCGGCCTGGCTTTGCACTGCAAAGTTTGCAGCAGCACGTGCAACAAAATGGCGCCCAGCATTCAAAACCCCCCTCAGCTTGCATTAACTAGCCACATACAAGGCATGCAAGCTCCACCCCCAGTCGTTCTTAGACTTCTTATTGGGTGAGCAACACAGCCAAGCAACACAGTTGGAGCCGGCCTCCTCCCTGGCTGGCTGCTTCCTTTGAAATTTAAGGGACATCATTTAAGGGACATCCATCAATAAGGGACAGCAGCGGGACATGGCGCTGGAATAAGGGACTGTCCCTTCAGATAAGGGACACTTGACAGCTATGGTAGAAGGCTAGACTCGTGTCTCACTCAGCCTGATTCCTAATATTAAATTTCAAAGCTGCCTTTGTGGCTGTGCTCAGTCTACTATGCATTTTGGAAAGTAGTATGCTCTATGCATTCAGACACCCCTTGAGATATCACTGCCAAACTGGGCATGACAGTTCCTCAGCCGGAGAAATTAGTTTTCATCAACACTGAGATACCAGGCACCCAGCAGGTGTGAACCCTCTTGTTCCAGTGTGGGTGGAAGGAAGGAGAAAAGACGTGCAGTGTTTCATTCCCACACACACCCTTCTTAAAAACCGAAACATTCGCCCCTCCTACATATTGATTCAGGGCTAGATCCAGATCACATGTTTCCTGGATCAGGTTGGGGCTTCTACACAGCCTTAAAACTAACAAATTATATTGTCCATTTAAAAATCTATGGTTTGTTTCTAAGAATTCCCTGGCAATGCCAGGCACTTTTTCCTAGTAAATAAATAATGGTCAGTGGCACTAAGTCTCTTGTAACCTAATCTAAGATTACATCACGGATATGCAATGTGTCCCTTTTTTTGATGCTGCCTGACTCCAACCTCTGACAGCCCTAAGCAACATGGACAATAGTCAGGATGATGGGAGTTGTAGTCTAACATGATCATCTACCCCTGGATTGCAAGCTTAATCTCTTCTCTTTTTTTGACCCACCCTGTAGGCCCCAGAACCTTACCGAGAAGCAGGCCCTGCTGAAGTCTCCTACGCTGTATTGAACCACAACTCACTAAGGACCAAGCGAGCAGCTCCTCCTGCCACAGCCCCGCAAACTTGTGTCTATGCCACACTGGCCCATGACAAAGTCAGGGAGGGTCGGTAGGCAAGACTTTACAGAGATGCTGCATATGCCCCGAGTTCTGGGGTCAAACATTTTAAGGCTGCTTCATGTGTACAAGCGCTGCTTATTTTATCAACACATGTCAGGTGTCATGGGGAGCTAGCCAGTGGTCAAAAGCTGGGGTATCTGTTACAGAGGTCAGAGGGTGTTTTTTGACTCTGAAATTTCGACTTTATGCTCTATCCCTGGAATGTAACCCATGTGTAAGTTGAGAGTCGGCTATATTATATAAGTCTATGTTATTTAAAAGCAGAGAAAGATCCACATATGGGTGCTGGGCTGAGAGAAAGAGCCTACAGCAGCTGGACTCCATTCCAGTTCCCCACAAATTCCATTTAAAGAGAACACCCACCTTTTTCATAGCCAAATTAACACAAAAAATGGAATTCCGCTTATCCAGACTGAATCAGAGCCACAAAATACATGGTAGTTATTGTGTCTCATAAGTATGGACCATTTCTTTCTTATTCATATAAAAAAGTGCTTAATTTAGTGTGTTTTTGTTGTAGTTTAGGTAGCATCCAATATAAAATGCCTGCCTTGTCATTTTCCCAATCACATGTTGTGTGGTTACAAATTTCAGTCGTTAACAAAAAAATCACTAGATGCTTTGGTGCAGAAGAAAGACCTCTTCTCTGGCAGCAGATGTACTTTTGTACGTGAAACAAAGAAAAGCGAAATAGCTTTTCAAATGGTCCAACGGCACCCTCTACTGGACTACTCTGGGATAACAGGGCTGTTTGTATTACAGGTGCGCATTTTATTTAAAACCTGAAAAGGCATCAGAAATATTTGCATTGTTATGAGTTTGTGAGTGCCAGACAGCTATAATCTCTGGATCCAGCAAGTGTTAGAATTGAATCAAGACTCCTGGATCCAGCAAGTGTTAAAATATAAGCCATGCTAGGAGTAGACTAGGTTTCTATTTATTTACTTACCTATGTCAAAGATTTATCTTTCACTTTTCAACTGCAGCGCTCAAAGAAGCTCATATCAAATGTAAATATGGTGTCTGCAAACCAAGCATTTAAAAAACAGAACAAGCCCAACAAATGCAAAAGGCAGCATCTGACATTGTCTTCCCCTCCCTCTCCTCCTTGCATCAGGAGAGTTGGCGGTAAATAGCCAAATGGAGGAGACAGTTCAGATGCTGCAAGCAACTACCTCTCTCGACTCTGCTATTCCTAACTTGAAATGACAGTTCCTATGACCTGGGACTAAGAAGTCATCAAGGACTGCTTCATATAGAAGCCTTAGTTGCCAAAAGAAATTGTTGCTCACAGCTGAGCTAGGCAGGTGAAGATACTTCCTTGGCTGCACATAGAACAATCATATATCTATAAACTAGGGAAAAGTCCAAGTTTTTAGAGTCCAAGCTTCTTAGAATTTTACGGAGTAATGATGCAAATGGTGAGATGATTGGTAATTTATTTTAAGATGCTTTTCTCATTTCCATTTTTATCTTTTCCCCCCTCTTTCATTTGAATGCAGAAGAGTCTGGTGTTGTTGGGCTTGTAACCAGTGTACTGTTGCCCGCAAACTGAAAGGTGCTTAAGAGTTACAGGGTTTTCTGGAAGTAGGGAAGTAATACGCCAAGCCTGCTAGTTCTTGCCATTCAAACTCAGTTTACTGGGTCCATTTTCTTTTCTTTTTTAAAAGCATTTATTGATCTTCCATTGATCACCCAGTCCGTTTTTTAGAAAAGCATTTATTTTTTTTACCCTTGGAGAATGCCAGGCTTAAGACAAATGAACCATGCCTTTTGAAATGATCCAATACTCTGCAAACAACTGTTAACAGCAAATGCAACTACAAACTCATCTTGCAATTGACCTGCTCATGCACTAAGTGCCACATCACCAAGACAGAGGAATAGCTTTAAAAGACTTTATTCCAATCAAGTATTTTAAAAAGTATTACGCTCCCCTAATACACACATACACACACCATGAAAAATACAAAACCACAAGTTTCTGCCTTCACGCCCCTACAGGATACCGGCCTGATCACGGGGATAGGAACTACCCTGAGGCCTCAAGCTTCCCACTCCTGGAGTCAAGAGCACCCTCCAACCACCATCTCCAATATAGCACTATTAAAAGGCCCCCTTCCTCCCCCACCCACTCCCAGTTCCTAAGCCAGGACTGTACATGTTCCAACATCATCCTGCACATGCCAAATCTGAGGCTGGGTGCAAGTCAAGCTGAACTCTTCCGTGGGAGTTTCTAGCCCTTAAGGCTGTGATGACAGGTTTGAAAGTATGTGAAGTATCAAAAGCCAGAAAGGTGGAGTGGGTGGGAGGGAGCCTATTCAAAATTTCCAGTGACCGTACACAGTCCAGACCAACAAAACAGAAACAAAATAACAGTAGGAAAACGGGATCTTCACAATTTATACAGGTTCAGAGTTTGGTTTATGTTGGCCTAGATATTTGTTTTATTGCAGAGAACATATAGCCCTGTTGAATACACTCCAGCATCTTCTTTCCTGTGAAAATAAAAAAAAATCCAGACTTGCCCAAGTTCATTATAAAAAACTCTAATCCTAAAGTGAAGGAACAAGTGCTGGAAAAGCCCTAAAAAGCATTGGGGAAATTAGGAGGAGGCAGATAGAGCAGCGACATACGCTTCACTTTAGTTGCTGTATACTATGGCATGAGCAAACCATTCCCTTATAAAGGAGATTTTGAGCTGGAGTTAGCAGCTAACTTGCCACAAGAGATAAGTTCTATAAATGACACACTGCAGTTCAAAACTGCAAAGATTGGAGCAGATGGTGATATTCTAAAGTCCTCCACCCCACTACTCCCTGAGGAACCCGGCCATCCAGAGACTTTTCCCAGTGCCTAGCTTGTTTATTGATTAAATTTATATACTGCCCTTCATCAAAAGATTTCAGGGCAGTTCACACAGTTTATTCATCCTCCATCCCTGGCAAGGGCCAAGGTGCCTTGACACCTCCCTGAGCACAATTTTAGGGGAGGTGGGGTCTTCTTTTGAAAAGACGACAGACCAAAAGAATGTGTTATAAACCTTACAGAGGATGGAAGAAGCAATGCTAACATACAAGGGTGTGTCGGGGTGTGTGTGGAGAGTGAAGTATGCAGAGGCAGAACGACAAGGGCTGGCTATGACAAAGTTTGTTATTGGAATGAGACACAGAAGCTGTTTAAGATGGAATGCAAGAGTCAAAGAAAACTGGGTTCACCACTCTGAGGTTTAAAGGCAAGCAACCCTCCACCCATGTGAAAGCCATGGAGAAAAGACTCAACAGACACAGGACTGAAAGCAAAGAAGATCAGAGACAGAGCCTAAAGGGATGACTTGATGCTCCCCCTCTCAAAGCGAGGTAGCTTAAAGAGTATATCCACCTTAAAAGATGGGTAAACACGAGGCACCAACAGGTGAAAACTGAGCCCCAGCCTGTCCTTCAACAGGAGCATTCAGTGTCCTGGCTAGCAACATCCACCCTTCCCACCCCAAACCTTTCCCTAACACAAAGCCCTTGATCATCTCACCCCCTTCCGTTCTCTTTACCCACCCCACCTCACCCCACCCCACCCCAGCAGTACTACCTAAAGGCTGTGCACTAATCCACTACTAATAACAAACATGGAACAACACAAACTGACAAGAGTAGCAGACAGGGAAGGAAGCATGGGCGCTCCCAGCAGCAAGGGCCAAAATCAGCTGCAGGGGGCAGGAAAAAAGATCACCTTTTAGCACAAACAGTGATATACAAGTGAAAATGCACACCTCATAATATTCCTCAATATTATTACTGTAAATGTTTGGTAGTTTGTTCTGATGAAGCATACTCTTTCTCCAAACAAGAGGATTACTATCTCATAGTAACGTGAAAATTTGGGTCAAGACTATTGGCACAGAATCACTTATCAGCACAAAATGAGCACCATAAACCACATAACTTGCACCACAAGTCACTGTACCTAAACAATTAAGGATAAGGATGATGATAATAATTTATTAGCTGCCCATCTGACTGAGTTGCCTTCAGATGTCTCCTAAAAGTCAGATAGTTGTTTATTTCCTTGACATGTAACAGGAGGGCGTTCCACAGGGTGGGCGTGACTACTGAGAAGGCAGGTAGTTACAGGGATTGTTTGTCCACAACAAACAAAACTGGTATTAAACAACTAGAGAAGTAATGGGGGGAAATGTCTGAAATATGTATTAACATACATAAAGTGAACTGGAGAGAGCAGGAAAAGATGTGCAATTTCAGCTGTATATCAACTGTTTTAATGAGCAACACACTATCAGTGTGCTTTGACAGACCGACACTTTTCAGCTATACTTTGTATATACATATGTGAAGTTCAAGTTGAGTGGAATAGAGAATGCGCACAAAGGCAACTTTGCAGATTAATATGAATGATGGTGGAAACAGCTCAAATTACAAGCATAAAGAGGATATATGAAAGCGTGTTGTTTATGTTACCTAGTTATGCAAGTTTCTCTTATGTTTTTGTTTATTTAACAAAATTATCATGCCTTCACATGAATATGCAGTTGCAAGTATCTACCAACATTCTCCACAACACAGATAATGGACTCCCTCTCAGATCCATTAATGAAAATGCTCATGACTGAAGATCTGTGGATTTTCAGCCTTTTCGTTGTGAAGGAAAATACCCTTCTCCACAGCTAAGTCCTCACACTCACACAACCAAGTTCAAAATATTATCCCTGCACTATAAATACAATTTCCTTATTGTGACAGAATGAGCAGCTACAGCTCCTTCTAGCTGCAGTTGTGCTTTTGAAACTCTCACCTACAAATGCCTAAATATCACTTTTTTAAAAAAAATGTTTTCTAGGAATCAGTACTGGTACTTGGCAGAACTATTAAAAACAGAAGGTCTGGATTATAATATATATCCAACACAGATACCAAGCAAAACTCTAGAAGCAGCTCTAAAAACAGATTTCTCTGTTTCAGAGCTCAAAAACTCATCCAGAAGACAGATCCTATCCACAGTTAGAAGGAACTCTCAGCAAATTAAAAGGACTTACTCCCAAGTGTGCATAGAATTGCAGCCTTAAACAGCAGTGACTCACAGATGCACACCTGTCTCTTTCAGAAGCTATATGGAGAAGACATTAGGACTGAAATGCACCAAGTTGGAAACAAAACTGACGAAGAAGGGAGAAAAGAGAAAGTTAAAGTAGGTCCTGCTGATTCCTAGCTATGGATTTTCCCAAATCAACACCACAAATCTCGCTATGAAAATGGCTGCAAAATGAAGCAAGCATTCTCCAAAAAGAATGGCTGCAATACAGCCCACCTGTTGGCTTCTCATCTTCAGCTAATCTTCAACTAGATTTCTAAGTAACCCGCTGATTGTTGCTCAGAAAGAGGCTGGAACTGCCAGAACAGGACCCCAAGAACTGCCAGACAGGACCACAGGTCAAAAATACAGATGATCTATTTACTGTACTGCAATGACATTTGAACTGAACCCAACCACTACTAGATGAGTAAGAACCATTTATCCAGTCCAAGCCAGCACCTCACAGAAGGAAGGTCCTTTATCACAATGCCCCTGAGCCAAGGAATCCTCTGATCAGAGCTAGGAAAGTTCAATTATTTCATTCTCTACCACTTGACTACAGTGTGAAATATTTGCATAAAATTATCAAACTCACTGGTATTCTTAAAAAACCATTTAACCTCAGCCATATCTAAGTATAAAAACATGAATACCTTAAAGGTCAGTAACAGTGTAAAAAGCCCCAGTACACATTCATTGAAAAGCCCCAGCAGGGAGAAGAGACAAGACAGACCTGACTAATACAAAAGTAGCTTTAAAAACTAGAAAATTGGATTTCTTGTAACAGTAGGCACCTAAAAAGCAGTTTGGGGGAGGGGGTAGAAAGTGAGAAAGAGGAGAGAAGAAAGAGTAATTCCCTAGATAAACTTGTGTAAGGAAACAGCAGTCATCAGGCTAAATGGGCTGAATAGGCATGGGTTGCATGCGCATGTGCACTTCTGGTTGCTGGTTTTCTTACAAAGAATTAAAGAGGCTTCCCTGATTAGATGTAGGCTTCCTTTACCCGCCAGTCATTTCACTCTCACCAGCCTCGCAACCTCCTTAGGGGCAACAAATAGCAAAAGCACCATGTGTGTCTATAGTTCCATGGTTGAACTGCTACAAACTATAGAGCATTGGGATACCTGGAGTCAAAAGGTGAAAGGAGCCTGGGAGAAAGCAAGCGGAGTTCCACGGTAAGATGACAGGGAGAGTCAATCCCAGACATCCATGCAGCCTGCTATATGGCTTAAGTTTCAGGGGTAATGGATCAAGGTTTGGCCTGGTTGTGGAGGGTGCTTCTAAAAAGGAAAGTGAGAGTACAAGTGTGATGGAGGGAGCACCCTGGAAAGAGGAAAAACGGAAAGTAAATCTGCTTTAGAACGAGAGGAAATGGAACACAGGATGGTGTTGTTAGCACAGGTATATCCTTGAGCCCTTTGTGAGCATCACAACAGAACAAAAGCAATGGTTTCTCACCCCCATACAAGGTGATTGGGACAAAGATGAAAAAGTCAACAGATGCTTTCAGGCAAATTCTGGTTGGTGGGTTTTGCCCTGGCTTATCAAGGATCAAGGTTCCACAAGCAGCTAAGGGAGCCTTTGCAGGACCTGGAGACCAGCCAGATCAAGATAACTCCTCACAGGAGCTGGAGGCCACTTCAAGGTTGATGGAGCCGTGGCTTACAACCAGTCGAAACCGCTTGGGTGGCACAAAAGGGGGAAAGGAAACAATTTGCTTTGGAGGAGGATGCTCCTCTGTCGGCTCCTCCTTCCCCTTGTCTGGAGGGGGCTGCTGCCAGCACTGCCTGCCTCTAAAGAGGAGGCTCTCCAAGCGGACATGAGCATACTGGGAAAGTTTGGGGTCTACTGCTAATAGTGAGACTTGGGGTTTGGGCAAATCCCAAGTTTGGCGTCGGGTCATGCTCCTTGTTCTGCATAAGACCTGGCCGGAGGAGGAAGAGCCTGTAGAGCCAAGGATCTCTTGGTCCCCTGAGTATAGTTCCCCAGATCCTGATCCATGAGACCCCATGATCTCAGCGGGGTTCTTCACATCTCCTGTGTGATGCTCCTCAGCCCCCTGGCTAAGCTCCCCGTTGCTGCTATGTGGTTCTCTCTCACCAATCCCACGCACCGCTTCTCTGCGCAAGCCTTCCCAGTGCAGGGGAACTCTCTTGCCAAGATTCACCACCAAGTCGCTCTGGTCTGCCCAGCTTGGGCTCTCAGGTCTATTGTACGTCCTTGTGAAGAAGAAGCTTTGCTGGGTCTCAAAGTGGCTGCTCTTCCTGCGTGAAGAGCGGCGGAGATGTGATGCAGGGAACATGGAAGGAGGGCAGCGTTGCAGATGCACCAGTGGCTGCTTACTGAGCTTGCAGCTACGTGCTGTGCAGCCCAAGCAGTTGTGCAGGGGGATACATAAAGGCTTTAGTATCCTCAGGTACCAACGAAAGGCGGATCTGCGGAGAGCAGCTGGAGGAAGAGAAGGGAGGTCAGCCCTAAGAGCAATGCTTCCCACCACACCATCCATCCCAAGCTGTAACCTATTTAAGCAGTGGTGCCACTGGACCCTTTGCCCGAAGAGAAAAGTACCTTTAAGAGTTAAATTGGACACCTCAGTAGAGGTGATGCTGCAAGTCAGATGCACAGTACATGGGTTTGGGCAATACAATACCATCAGCTATCATTACAATAGGGGCCCCCTAATGTGATCATTAATTAAAACTAGCTGAAGAGTGAGTGTCACCACTTGTCTCTGCAAAACAAAATCCATGAATTGCAGTTGCTTTGGAACTCTCGTTTTTGAGGGTATATAAACTCTAGGCTTCACAGATACTTCTGGTACTACACAGTCACCTTGACTTGCTAAAATCACTCTTGCTGCCTGCACAGAACCCAGGGTCTGACTGTTATCTCCCCATGCTTTTCCTTTGCTGCCTCCCAGGTTCCCTATTTGGTGCAGCTGCTCAATGCTTTTTCAAGTCTCTCCTGGTTCCTGCTTCTCTGGATCCCTACTTGCTGAAGTAGAGATTCTGGTGCAAGCTGCTCAGAAGTCCCTTTTCAGGGTTCTGGCTTAGACAAGATGTTTGTCCCTTTATTTCCTACCTAATCCAGGAGCTATATGCCCCAGTTCCACTTCTTCAGGATTGTCTAGCAAGGCTGGGAAATTTATTTCTTGCTACATATACTATAATCTGGAGATCTTTCCTCTACAAAATGTAGCCTCCACATTTGCTCCCTCTTCCTATCTTCAATGCTGTGTGTGTGTGACTGTTTTAGAAGCCACCTCCTGGTACTCCCTGCCTAGTTATGCATTACTGAGGCCTGCTCTGACAAGTGGGCCCAGAGAGAAAGAGCAGGCTAGTGCACCTCTTCCAAACATTGCTGAGCACACCTTTCTTTCAGAACTCCACACTGCCTTAGACCTACCCCTCCAGTTTCTCACTCCTCCTCTTACACCCTGTATCCTTGCTCCTTCTTGTATGTATGTCGTGTGTGTGTTAGCTTAGTTATGAATACTTAGCTAATTCTCCCAAACCAAAGAAATGTGTGTAATGTTGCTGAGCTACTTCCCACTGCCAAAATATACACATCGTTAGCTGTTCCCCATTGAAGTGTTGCAACTATATATTTTTATTCTCCCTCTGTGTGCGTGTGTGTATACAATAAACACCCCATTTAAAAAACTTGTGTGAATGTTTAGTTGCTGGGTAAATCTACTAAGATGCATTACTGCCACTGTCTAAAGGCCCTTATTCATGAGACTCACAGAACGTGTGGATGTGAAACAAGTGTCTACCAAAGAAGATTTATTAACACCACTTCAACTCGGGGGAAAGTGCTACTCTTTTTCCTCACCACACAGATCACTGTAATAGCACTAGAGCAATTTTTCTTGTGCTGAATTTGATGAGGCATGGGAGGGAGAAAATGGGTGCAAACTAGCAGGCTCATCTCTTTTGCAAGGCTACATTGAGCAGATGCTCAAGCCACATGTTACCTTACAGAACTGCAACCCACAAAATCTTGTTTCAGCAAGTCAACCCTTATACATCTCACCATGTATTTTTGCTTTCCTGCGCCGGGCCTTGCATCCCACTTTCACACTGAGTCGGGCCAGCTTGTATGACGGACGTTTCCACCGCTGTAGACGGCCATCTGTCTCTCTGAGCAGATAGTTATCATTGATTGAGGTAGATTGTGGAGGTGTTTGATTCAGGAGGCGGTAGGCTCCTTCCCCCTTCCTGAAAGAGGAAACAGTTGATAATTGGGTGAGGTGTTTAACTGCACAAGAATGGAGCTCTGCATTTACTAAGCAGTTCACTCTGGCTTGTATGTATGTGTATAAGTGTACACACCCACACACCCTTGAAGCCTGGTTTTACAAGAAAACCAACAGTAAGAGAAAATCAAGACATAGCAACCATTATCGGCTTTTATGGAAGGAGGAAGGAAAAAGGGACAGGTGACAAATGAGATCATTCACTGATCTCCTGTGGAAGAGTATGTATAATATCCTCCCCCAATCCTTAGGTGCTGCTGTTGCTCTTTAAAAGGTTATGTGACGGCCCAGGAGGAAATAGCTGCCATCCAAACTGTGCTACCTAGCAACCAACCCCAGGAGCGCTCCTATCCCTTGAGGATGGAGCTTCTCTGTACCTGAGCAGTTGGACAGTCTGCAACTCACAGGCACAGTAATATTATCAAACCACTAGAAATCCCACCCATTCCCCAGCTGAGATTCCTTAAGACTTCACTGCCCACAGCCTTCACCTTTCACAAGTGTGGCATTCGCACAACTCATTGTCCTCTCCAAAGAAGCCGTCGCCATAGAAGCATGTGATCTCATCATCTGGCTCAATGTCCCGCAGCACCTTGACGCAGGCAGTGTTCCCATCCATTGGGACAAACTGCAGTACAGAGACAAACAATGTACAAGGGGAAGGAACAGCAGGAAACAGGGGGGGAAACCAGAAATGTAGAGGTTCAGGATGCTCTCTGGGGGGTGTGGAGGGAGACAACCAGCAGACTCCTCCTCTTCCCTCCCTCTCAGAAATCCCAAGTGACCCAGCTCTTATTTTCACAAGACTCTATTTGCAGACACAGAAATTCCTGACACTGGGCTTCTAGGCACTTCTCAGAAACAGCACGCTAGTATGAAAAGAGGCAAAGAAATTTATTTTTTTCTAGACCTGAACTATGGGGAATGAGGGTCATGCTTCTAGCCTTTATGATGGTGAAGCAATGGCTGAAACTCAGCATCCTGAGAAGCAGTAGAAGAGAAACTGGGTGGGAGAAGCAGTAGGAGAGAAACTGCCAGGACTCAGCAGGGGGAACTTTTGTAAGTCATACAGCTTCCTTCCTCTCCCAAATATTTACAAGGTATTACTTGCTTCCTTTTTCAACCTCTTCCAACATATCCTACACCCAAAGCAAATGCCACAATAATAAATGAGTTCTAGGAATGAGTTCTAGGAATGGCTTGTCCCAAATGCAAAGCCTCAGCATTTTAAACAAGGAGTGCCACCTCTACTAGCAATAAGCCAAAATGACTTACCTTACAATTGGGTCTGCAGTCTGAGAGGTTCCACGGTGAGGGACAAATTATATGGGGTGGGGGATAGGCAGTAGTGGAGAGAGATTTTTTAAAAAAAGCAGAGACAAGTTATAAAGATAGTCCACTTGTTCAGACACTATTTACATTTCAGCAACAGGCTAGAAGAGAAAAAGTATGCTGCTGCTTTTCAACAATGCATCCTGCTTTCTCTCAAAGCAATTACAAGTTGGGGTAAATTATCATTTCACTAATAACCTAACTTCCTTCCAGCCTTCCGTCAAGAAATAACATGGCAGCATACATTAAGTTCCCAGCCAGACACCAATCCATGTACCAGTCACACTGAAAGCTGCTTCGCTTCAGGAGGGTGGCTGCATCGTGTGCCCTCAAATCATGCCCTGGCAGGTGTGGGGTCTAAACATAGTACCCCAATAAGCGCTCTCACTTTTTTCTGAAGGCAAGCTTCTAAGCTTTCGAGCCTTCTAAGGTTGTGAAGACTAGCTTGATGCTCCTGCTGAAATCCCAAAGCCTCTGGGGAATGGGGAGCTGAACAAAACAGTGTGCTTCAGAGAGGGAGGAGACTTTCAAGTACACTGTGTAGGATTTTTCTTGCCTTCCACAGTGAGCGAAATCCCGTTTCAGTGATACATGTTCTTAGTTACCTGAAGTACAGAAAAGGGTAGGCTTTTCAGCCATTAATAACTCTTGGGGAGGGGAAAGAAGTTTCCATTCAAGGTCACATAAATGGGGTGCTAAAATAAGCAATCTAAACAAACTTATTCTTACTGGCCTTTTAATGAAGGGACCCAACATAGCTCAGTGAAAGTTCAGTCCCTGGTACCTCCAGCTGGAAGGACCAGGTAGTAGACAGTGGGAAGAACTCTGGAGAGCTGTTGTCAGAGTAGACAATGCTGGAACCAATGATCAAACAGTCTGACTGCTATAAGTCAGTTTCCTATGGAATGTACCAACTGATTGCACCCTAGACCTCATTGCAGTGACCAATTCCTTCACTTTTCAATTAATTCCAACAAAAATCCTACCAACTTGAAAGCTAATTAAAAATACATATAACATCTTAAGCAAACCTGTTCCTACACCCCATTTATCTTAATACTCATTCCCCATCCTCCTTACATTCTTCCTGTACTCGCCAAAATAGACAGAATCCTTAGGAAGTGTACACTAAAAATCAGATTATGCACCAGACTTAGAAAAAGAAAAAGGAACCTTTTACAAGCAGCTTGGAATGAGTACTGGAAACTTTATTCGATCCTCTCTATTATGCATTGGTTTCTGATGGGTCCCACAAGCTGCTAAAATTGAAGTTATTGGTTTTTTTGTTTGCTTTTACAAACTTTATTGAAAAATTTAAAAACAATTATGAAACAAAAAGTGTTGTCTTCCAAGACAAACACATGGAAGTTAGATAAACTCAACTGAAAGAATTGAATATCTGTTCTTTCTGATTTAGGCAGTTAAACAGACACCTTTGAATTCAATATTTTAATTTGCATTATAATGAGATACTCTATGGACATACATTGGTTTAATTGTTTTCTTCAGTAAAAGTATTTTAAAAAAACAATTTGTTGCAATTTCATTCCATACTGAAAGGGACTTTCTGGTGTTAATCTGGGCCCTGCTATACCTGCACATAAATCACATCCAGCAGTTATGGTATGTTTCATGCACACAGGAAAGCAACTATGATGGATCTAAATGGATGACACTATGCCATGTCTGTAGAAGCTACTTGGACCTTTGCACATTTATTTACTGCTTTCAATAACACTCATGGAGACCTTGGTATTATAATTAGAGTAGCAGAAAAGCAGCCATGTTGCCTAAACAAAATGTAAATCCCCAAGTAGAGAACTGCTAATACAGCAGGGGTCCTGGTTCCTCATTCCCCCACCCACATCAGATAAATTATGGTACAGTGGTACCCCGCAAGACGAACGCCTCGCAAGACGGAAAACCCGCTAGACGAAAGGGTTTTCCATTTTGGAGACGCTTCGCAAAACGAATTTCCCTATGGGCTTCCTTCGCAAGACGAAAGCCCATAGGGAAATCTCCGGGACAGGGCGTCTTGCCCACTGTCCTCGGACCTCCTCCCGCCGCCAGGCTTCGGAAGGCTGCTCCGAAGCCTGGCGGGGGGCAGAGAGGTTTTTTAAAAACCACGGGACAGCGGAGGACTTCTCCGCTGTCCGGGGCGATTTTAAAATGCTGGCGGGCGGCAGCGCTGCCGCCCAGCAGCATTTAAAAAAACCCCGGGACAGCGGGGGACTTCTCCTTTGTCCCGAGGTTTTTTAAAATGCTGGCGGGCGGCAGCGAACACTTCGCTGCCGCCCGCCAGCATTTTAAAATCGCCCCGGACAGCGGAGAAGTCCTCCGCTGTCCCGAGGTTTTTTAAAATGCTGGCGGCTTCCCCTTTCTCCCCGGACCTCTTTTGAAGCAAGGGGCGGCAACGCAGAGAAGCGATCTTCTCCCCGTTGCCGCCCCTTGCTTCAAAAGAGGGGACAGAGGGAAAGGCGCGCGCCTTCCTCTCTCTCCCCGGACCCCTTTTGAAGCAAGGGGCGGCAAAGGGGAGAAGCGATCTTCTCCCCGTTGCCGCCCCTTGCTTCAAAAGAGGGGACAGAGGGAAAGGCGTGCGCCTTCCTCTCTCTCTCCGGACCCCTTTTGAAGCAAGGGGTGGCAAAGGGGAGAAGCGATCTTCTCCCCGTTGCCGCCCCTTGCTTCAAAAGAGGGGACAGAGGGAAAGGCGCACGCCTTCCTCTCTCTCCCCGGACCCCTTTTGAAGCAAGGGGCGGCAACGGGGAGAAGCGATCTTCTCCCCGTTGCCGCCCCTTGCTTCAAAAGAGGAGACAGAGGGAAAGGCGCGCGCCTTCCTCTCTCTCCCCGGAAATTGTGGGGCAGGCAACGGGGAGAAGCAATCTTCTCCCCGCTGCCCCTTGCTTTAAAACAGGTCCGGGGACAGAGGGGAAGGCGCGCGGTGCTTCCCCACTGTCCCCGACGGTCTCCTTAGGAACGCATTGATTGGTTTTCAATGCATTCCTATGGGAAACCGTGCTTCGCAAGACGAAAAACTCGCAAGAAGAAAAAACTTGCGGAACGAATTAATTTCGTCTTGCGAGGCACCACTGTAATTCATAGTCTACATTGTATGCCCACATGAACAGTAAAATTAATGGAAAAAATTAAATCAGAGATGGAGTCAAAGGGCTGTAGGGCACTAGAACTCTGGGAGGTGCAGAAGTTATGAGAAGATCTATGGAACAACGATTCAGAGGCAGAGCCAGGACCAGCTGCACATTTCCACATACCATGATTAATGAAGGCTGCAGGCCCCAGCCATAGCTGGGCACACTGTTTGCGTGTAGAATACATGATGCTGAAGTCATTTTCACCAGTCCGCAGGAGACTCTCGTCTGGCTCCGTTAGCTCTGTAATATAACCCTCCAGGAGCTCCAGTTTGTCATTCTTTTTCCTTATAGGCAGGGAGAAAGACACAAGCATCACAGATCAGCTGTCATGCTCCCCATAAGTGTACAGTAGGTGAGGATGGTGGGCAAATTTAAGTTCACTTTACTGAATATTAGTTCCCTGCATTATAGATTGGGAATACAGTGGTACCTCTGGTTACGTACTTAATTGGTTCAGGAGGTCCGTTCTTAACCTGAAACTGTTCTTAACCTGAGCCACCACTTTAGCTAATGGGGCCTCCTGCTGCTGCCGCGCCATTTCCACACTTTTTCTGTTCTCAACCTGAAGCAAAGTTCTTAACCCGAGGTACTATTTCTGGGTTCTTAACCGAAGGTACTAATTCTGAGTCTGTAACCTGAAGCGTATGTAACCCAAGGTGCCACTGTAGGGCCTTTTTGAGAACTTGTTCCCAGAGAATCAACAGCTCATTGAGCCTCCAGCACACCAACAACCTCTGTCCAAGAGAGAGATAGTCATACATGTTACAAACAGTACAAAACACTGGAAAGTTTCTACACCCCTGCTTGCATTCTACCTGCATTTTTGTTGTTGTTGCTCTATTTAGTTTACTAAGAGTTTAGGATTTCATTGGATGGAGTGGGGTGCCCCTGGGCTCCTAGCGCTGCACATCTGCTTAAGTCACTTCGACACTTTGTCAGCTGGGGCAACTGCTAGCCAAAAAGATCTTCCTGGTGATTTTTTGGTGCCAGCTGGAAAGCTTTTTATTTTCCCAGGACCTAAAAAAATGTTTTAATTTAAACTTTTAGAATTGCGTTAAAATACTATTGATATTGCTTGAAGGTTTGAGATGATTTTTATTTTCTGTTGCATTCTTTGTTCTTGTTTTTATGATTTATAAATTGTATTTCAATGTTTTCATCATTACTGTAAGCCATATAAGGTTACATAATACTAGCAAGTGGAAGGGTGTTACATGAAAGGGGTGTCAAACCACCACCACCCTACCATGATTTTGTAGCGACCACACGGGCACCATTTATTTCCAGGGAATACCGGGTACAGCGCTTGATGGCAAAACCACTCTCAGGAAGGAAGATGCGAAGGTAACGAAATATCTGCAGAAAAGAGATAAACAATTGGCTCCTAGTTGGTAATTCTGGCTTCCTGCTTACCCCCTCATCAGAAGTCTCGCCAATTCTTCTCCTAAGAACCAAGGAGCTATCACAGTCTTCCTACCCATCAGCCGGAGCAAAAAAATTCATGATTCCTGGCCATCAGGTCATTAGATCTCTTGCCTTGCACAGAGAAGTTTTGTTAAAAACATAGATACTTAATTTGTTGCCTAAGATTGTTGCCCATGACATAAAGGCAGTGGGGAGGATTGTGGCCAACACACTCTCAGCAAAGATAGCATACCACTTCCTGTCTTGGGAAAGAACTGTGTCGCAGGAGCTACCCTGTCGCCAACCATGTTCTAGGATCTGATGGGGAGTGGGGCATTAGAGAAAGTGCTTCAGAGAAGGACAGCCAAAATTGCCCCCAATTTTATTTTTTTTAATCCACATTTAAAAGGGAATCTGCAACATAAAACTATTGAAGGGGTACATCAAGAATTTCAATGTTATCACTTGTGGAATGAACAGAGACAATGGATTTTTAGCATGTTTTCTGGATTAATTGACCTATCAGTGTCAGCAGGTATGTGTCATGAAGAACTATTTTGAGGTTTAGCATTGCTAATTAATGACCTCTGTCTGTACTACAGATCCCTGTTGGTGTAAAGGTTCATGTGAAGTACGACCCAAGGGCTCTTTCACACATCTGAAGCAAAAACAATCCCTCCCATGCTCACTTTCAGATTTTGACATCTTTCTCACCCTCCCTCTCCCGAAATAGCAAAGAGGTAAAAGAGTTGTACATGAGTCTTGAAGGCAGCCTCCTGCTGACAGCTCCGCTTTGCGAAGTACTGGCAGGCCCATCCACCTTGCATCAAGGCCTGATATGCCATGTCTAGGTCCTTGCGCTTCCGGAAAGCTTCTACTGCTTCCCGCAAATGGTGCTTTCTTCTGATGGCTGGGAGTGGGCTGAAGGGATGAGAAATAGAGAGGAGTTGGGTTTGCTTTGAAACACACTGCTTTCCTTATCCCCTCAATCCCAAGCCTCACCACTCCCCCTCAATTTCTATTTTGCCCTGTGCTGCAAGTGGAATCTTCTTGAGTCTTTGAGACCTTAGGCCCTCACCTTACGTTCATCTTATGGGTCTTAAAGCCGAGGTAGGAGTCGAGAATTAGTGTTGTAGCTAGATCATCAATTTCACATAGCTCCTTGGCAGTCACACGAGTAGAACCCATCTTCCTTCCAGAACCATGCTGTACTCAGCCGTGCTACCTGCAAGAGAGGGGGGCAAAGTCAAAGATGTACACACACACAGGAAAGTTGGAGTCAGTGCGTAATCCCCACTCCTAGTTATCAAAATTCAGATTAAAGAAGGTAATGAATTATGTAGAAACATGTTTCGACCCTAAACCGCATCTGCATTCTCTGAAATCTTTGGTTTCCCTATGCATGTGCATGCAGATCTGCCCACAGGTTTATTTAAATGCACATTATTCTTTTTCCAATATGCTCATGACATTAATATAACATTCTCAGTAACCACTTTTTTTGCTATGTACTGTAAACTGTAATCATTATAACTGAACTGCAAGCTCAGCAAGACTTTATTTACATTTGTAATAAATCACAAAATTAGATTGCGTTGGGCTAATCTTTTTTCAACAAAGTGATTAACGAAAACATGTTTTTAATGGACTGGTCTTACTGCAATCATAGTATTTTTTTACAGAAAAGTCTGCATGTGACACTTATTAAAGCCACCCTATTTAAGTGGGAACTCATATAAGAGACTTGATTAAATCCACCATGCCAGGAATTCTGTCTCCAATCTATTCAATACAACCTCATATCTCTGTTACCTCCACACCCCAAAAATCAGTTTTAAAACATCCTACTCAAATATTTTTACTTTCCAAAGGTTATATTTCTACACAGCCCCTCTTGTAAACACTGAAAACTTTTTCCAATTAAAAAAGCCGACAAAACCATACTACAATAAAAACTATCGCCCCAAAAAACCCTGAAATCACTAAACCTCACATACTCTCAAGATACACAAAATGGTTGTATACTATAGTCAACTCTAGAATATCAGTTGTCCAGAACTTTCTGTGGGAATATGCTCCTCATACTACATGTATTTAGCCAACATCAATCCAACCTCACAAGAGGGAATATCCAACGGATCTCCCTGGAAAGAGGCATTGTTCACCAGGGGCCTACAGATATTAGCTTGGTTTACTAGCCTGCCTCATTCCTACCCAAATCCTCTGGCACATGTAGAGGGCTTAAAGAAGGGAAAGAATTTCCCTCATTTGTGCTTGGGCACAGAGAAATTAGGAAGCTGTGACAGAGTACAGCTGTTTCTTGCTTTCTTGAAACCAGAGCACATTGGATTACTTACAGAAAGGGATGCAAGCTGTTGGGTATCATTCTCTCTGGAGGGCCAGGGACACTGATAAAGGAACGCTTGTTCCCAAAGAACAAGAGACCAAAAGAGAAGTGGTTGAACAATGACTGCTAGCTAGGAACCAATGTCAACATTTTCAGCCAACAATGCTGCACAGAACATGTTGTTATGTGCCAATATAAAATGCTACTTTTCCATTTAGGATTTTTCCACCAAGGGAACATGCATTGATGCCTTTGTGGGACACTTAACTTCTTTATGTATAAAAAATTTTTCAAGCAAAAATAACATGTGAGTTTAAGTCACTCACTAGCTTCCTGGTTGTACATGAGGATCTCCAGAGTACAGCTCAGAAAGGAACCTGAGGTCATCTCATTGACTGCCCACTACATGTCGTTCCAGACAGCAGTCATGACCTACATTTAGAAATAGACTATAATCACTTCATTGCTTTGTTCAGGGATACAACTCTCTGCCTTTGAAGAAGCAACTCCCAGGCAGGTCAATGCTGAGCAAAGGTCGGCCAGAGCTACAGTAGAATAGCTACCAAGTCCCATTTGTAGATTTTCTGGAGAGAGAAAATGAGTTAGGTTAATTTGCATCAGAGAATTTCCTGATGCCTTCAAGAATGATCTAATTCAGAATGTTTATTTGCATTTAATAAACAAACTAAAAACTTTAAAATTGGACTTTAATTGTATGGTATTTGCAACTGACATCCATTCATTGTTACTAATGTACCGTATTTTTCGTTCTATAAGACGCACCAGACCATAAGACGCACCTAGTTTTTGGAGGACGAAAACAAGATATTTTTTTTCCTGAATCTCAGAAGCCAGAACAACAAGAGGGATCGCTGCACAGCGAAATCAGCGTTCCCTCTTGCTGTTCTGGCTTCTGGGATAGTTGCGCAGCCTGCATTCGCTGCATAAGACGCACACACATTTCCCCTTACTTTTTAGGAGGGAAAAAGTGAGTCTTATAGAGCAAAAAATACGGTATACTAATGGGAATTTTTCTGCAATAATAATAATAACAACAAAAAAACACTGGAAATTTTTCAGCCCCTCATCACTGATCTCTAAAAAAAGAAAACTTGGACTACCAGATTTATTCATACACACACACACACACATTTAAGTACACAAAGATTGATACATTCTAGGAACGCATTCCATAGGACATTAAAATTTCTACAATGTAAGAGACACTTCATTCTTGACTCAGGTATTGTACTGTCTCCCAGTGCTTCAGAAAGGTATCCAAAGCAAGAGACGACTATCTGGAAAGCAGGCTTGGAGCTCCATCAAACATGGAATCTAGCTCATAACAGAGGTGAAGGATTGCTCTCAAAGTGCCAAGCAAGCAACTAACAGAGGGTTTCTAAGGTATCCAAGCTTCATCCACCAATCATCTTCTTTGGCGATCACTTGTAGCCGAGTAAGATTGTCTTCCATAAACACGGTTTTAACGAGTCCGTAAGTGACTGTGGAGGCCAATTCTGGATCCACACGTCCTTCCACAGTGGGGACATTGGTTTCCGGGCAGGAGTTGATCATGATGTGGATTTGCCAAGCATGCCTTCCTCTTAGCACGTTTCTCCCTTGCATCCTGAGTTTGAGTGTCTTCAAAGACCACAACACTTTGGGTAAAGGTTGTTCTCCAATTGGAGTGCTCGCAGGAAAGTGTTTCCCAATTGTTGGTGTTTGTACTACATTTTTTAAAATTTGCCTCGAGAGAGTCTTTAAACATGTTTGTTGACCACCAGCATTTTGCTTTCCATTTTTAAGTTTGGAATACAGTAGTTGCTTTGGAAGATGATAATCAGGCATCCGCACAACATGATCAGTCTAACGAAGTTGATGTTGAAGAATCATTGCTTCAACACAGGTGATATTTGCTTCTTCCAGTACACTGGTGTTAGTTCGCCTGTCTTCACAAGTGATGTGTAAAATTTTTCAGAGACACCATTGATGGAATCTTATAAGTGGTCCATGTTTCACAAGCATACAGTAAGGTTGGTAGTACAATAGCTTTGTAAACAAGCATTTTGGTTTCCCTGCGAATGTCCCGGTCCTCAAACACTTCAATTGAGAGAAAGCCGCACTCGCAGAGCTCAGGCGATGCTGGATTTCGGCATCAATGTCAGCCCTTGTGGAAAGATAGCTGCCTAGGTAGGAGAAGTGACTGACATTTTCCAGTGTTACACCATTGAGTTGGATTTGTGGCACTGCAGAGGGGTTATTTTGTACTTGTTGGTGCAGCACTTTGGTTTTTTGGATGTTGAGGGATAGGCCAAGCTTTTCATAAGCTTTTGCGAAGATATTTAGGATGGTTTGGAGGTCATCCTCTGAGCATGCACACACTACATTGTCATCAGCATACTAAAGCTCTATGACAGAAGTTACAGTAACCTTACTCTTTGCTTTCAGCCTGCTCAGATTAAAGAGCTTTCCATCTGTTTGATATATGATTTCTACTCCAGTGGGGAGTTTCCCTTCGACAAAGTGTAGGATTATGGCAATGAAAATAATGAATAGAGTTGGGGCGATAACACAACCCTGTTTAACACCTGATCCTACTGTGAATGGTTCACTTTGAGAGCAATTGTTGTCTGTGATTGTTGCTGTCATATTATCATGGAGGAGCTGAATGATGTTCACAAATTTATCTGGGCAGCCAATTTTCAGAAGGACAGTCCACAGGGCATTACGATTTAGTGTCAGAAGCCTTTAGTCAGGTCAATAAACCCCATATACAGGGCTTGGTTTTGCTCTCTGCAGTTTTCTTGAAGCTGTCGAGCGGTTAAAATCATGTCCATTGTCCCCATAGAAGGCCGAAAACCATTTTGGGACTCAGGAAGGGTCACCTTGGATATTGTTAAGAGATGGTTTGCTAAGATCCTTGGAAGAATTTTTCCGGCTGCAGCTAATAGAGAGGTGCCTCAATAGTTTCCGCAATCAGTTCTGTCACCTTTTTTAAAGAGATTGGTGATTTTGGCATCCCTAAATTCTGCTGGGATCTCTTCTCTCTCCCAGATTTTTTTGATGAGCTTGTGAAGTTGTTGTGCAAGTTCAATTCCGCCCATTTTGAAGGCAGGTATCCCATCAGGTCACCCACTATTTATTTAACTAAAACTATAGCATTATAGCATATGTATCCATGTTTGTTAACTGATGTGGTTAAACATTTTTTAAAAAACAACAACCTTAGACTGAGTTTTAGCAGACATGAAAAACTTAGAACAAATTCTTATTTCCTGATGAATGGCCTTTGGACTATAAGGTAACTTAAATAGAAAACTATCTCTAGAAAATATTTTCCTCCAAAAGCATTTTATTTTAAAAATCCAATTTAAATTTTAAAAAAGCCGATAAAAAGATTTAAATCATTGATTTTTTTAATCCACCCTGCCAATTAGTAACCTAAGTGTCCCCTCATGTGGCTAACCGCATAAGCATATTTACCACACCGATAAGCCCATTCACCTGTAGAGTTAGCACAACAGTACTTCACTGGCTCAGGTCAGTCACTGTGGGCATGACAACTCAAAAAGCCAATAGGCTGCCACACATGGTAACTTTACACACAGAAAGAAGAACCACTTACATGGGCACGTGCTCAGTCAGTGCTAGCATCATGTGTTCTGGCTCCGAAGCCTGATGGGTTGAGGCCAGGTAATTGCCTTGAACTAGGCCAGACAAACTGCCTAACTCAGGGGTCGGGCAAGGTTTACCTCACCTGGGCCGGTTCACTTCAACGGAGATCCCTCCGTGGGCCGGATCACATGCACATTTGAGTGCGCGCAGCAGCAATTTCCAGCGTCTGCATCTTCACAGACATGATTTCTGGTGTCTGCTTCTGCACAGCCACAATTTTCGGCGTCTGAGCATGCGCAGACGTGATTTCTGGCACCGCAGAAGCGAGTCCCTGCGCCGTGATGGTTTAGCGCAGCGCCTCGCCGAGCAAATGGCTCGGTTCGTGGGAGGCTCATGGGGGGGTTAAATGACCCCCGTGGGCCGCTTGTGGCCCATGGGCGTTAGGTTGCCTACCCCTGGTCTAACTAATACAGCAGAGCTTTCCAAACTGTGTGTTATGACACGTTAAGTATGTCCGCTGCAGTGTGTAGGTGTGTTGTGTGAACGCTCCCCATGCTCCTCCCGGGGCTGCAAAGGGGTTAGTTTAACCTCCAGTTTGCTAGTAAGACTGAATTGCTGTGTCACAACATGAGAAGTGCAGAAAGCTCTGTAATACAGCATTTGTTTATATTTCTAGTCCTCCTTTCAGATTGTGGTTGGCAGGAGAGGAAAAAAGAAGGTGAGTGTCCTAGATATGTGTGAGAAGGCAGGAAAGTAATTAGGGTTGGAAATGGGGTGAGAAAAGGTGTCACAGTACAGGGCGAAAGGCAGGGAAATGTGGGGAAGAGGGGTTTCTTCTCAGTGTTTCAGGGAGACTGAAGAAATAAAAAGGAAATAGGGAGCCGAGGATGCTCTCCAGGGTTTCGGTATTCTTATTTTTTCCTGACAGAGTGTGTGTGGCATTTTAGGATGAAAGAGGAGAGGGCACGTGGGGGGGGGCATTTTCGTCTCTTTCAGGGAAAAGACTTTTTTTTTAAGGAAGAGTGGAACTTAGGACAAGACAAGCGTTGGGGCGAGTCCTTTTCGTGCGAGTCTTTGTTTGGGTGGGCAGTTAAGATTTAGGATTAAAAAGTGAGGTGAGAGAAGGCGAGGCGAGTGCCCGCCCTGACTGCGAGGGAAAAGCCCTCGCTTTTACCTCAGCCTCCCCTCTCCTCACAACCACCTTATCCCCACGCAAAAGGACCCCCCCACCCCACATATTGGGAGGGAATAGGGCTGGGGAGACCTCACAGAACCGGCCCCCCCCGGACGCGCGCGCATCCCTCTCCTTCCAACCGAAGCCCGCGCGCGCGCCAGGCCTCCCCCCAACGGACATTCCTTTCTCTCCCCCCCCCCCCCCCGCCGCTCTGATCCCTTTCATTCTTTCTTCCGCTAACCTACCTGCTCGCGCGCTCCTGTTTCTCACTCTCGGCGGCTATCGCTGCCGCGACCGCATCACGCCGCGCGCCCTCCCCTTTCCCCGCGCCATTTGCCCCTTTGAAAGCCTGTCACTCCCCGGCCCGGATCCCGCGACGCGCCGTTGGTCGGCCGAGGCCGTCAATCAAAGGCAGCTCCCGCCTCCCTCCCGTTGTGCGTCCATTGTGCCCCTCGAGCGAAGCCTTGCCTGCTCCGCTTTCCCACCCGCATGCTCAGGGCTTGATTGGCTCAGAGGGAAGTGCCTCTCAAAATCCCTCCCGGCCTGCTATTGGATCGACTAGGCCGGGAAGACTCCCGCCTTTCACGGGAGGGGGCTCGCCCCTCAGCCGATTGGGCGAAGCTGGTATCTGTTAAATGTTGCTCCCGCCTTACAGAGTCGAATGAGGACGCGGCCCGGTTCCCCAGCCACCTATTGGGAGAATTCGGTGTCTGTCAAATTTTCGTATGTTCCTCCTTCAGTCGCGCCCTTTGGGAAGAACCGCGGCCCAACTCAATGGCCGCTGGAATTCCAGAAACATGCCTTTCCCATTGGATAACTGGAGGTCAAATAACTATTGCCGCCCACACCAAGAAGCCCCACCTCACCTGGCTTGTCATTGGCCAAATAAGACGCTTATCAATGTTTCACGCACATTTCCGGCATCCATAGGGCCATTCACTGCTCTACGCCGCAATTCTCCGCTTCCTCAGTTTCTATTGGATCTTCGTCACACCAGTGGCAACGGTGCCAGTCGCTGTTTTATTCCGTTTTAATAGCTGCTGGGGAGCGGGGGCACAACGGACTAATGTTCCCTCTACCGTCTCTTATTAAGTATCCTGACATTTGAAATTTCCCGCCAAAATGCTAGCGCTTTCTATTGGTCCGCCTGATCTATTTGCCGTTTTCCCTGTCGAGTAGCAAATCGTCCCAACACGATCTGATCCGTAAAGTTCCGGAAGAGAGGCGTACAGAAGAGCTTCCGGTTGCCCTGAGGCTTTTTCGTGCTTTAGCGTGAAGAGGGAGCTCCCCATAGAAATTAATGGAGAAGCCCAGAATTTTTGCACACTGATAAAGTCAAATTCTTGGGGTGCACTATACTTAAAGCGTTTTCCCAACTTCCTCCTGCGGATTCCTGAATCGGTCAGGTTCAAGCAGTACAGACACAGCCAAGCAAATATAGAATCAAACAGCAGCCAGGAGGCCTGATCTTTATTTGTCTCAACAAAGGTTCACACCCTCAAAGCATGCAGAGAGAAGAACAAGAACAAGAGGGTCCATGAAGCTTTAAAGTTTTCTAAAGTTTCCCATAAAATATTTAAGAGTCATCAGAACATCAACATGCCATAGAAAGGGGGTGGTGTTAGGCATCTTGAGATTTCTGACATGCCCCTGTCAATCGTGCATGGTTCAAGTATACACCTTCACACAAGTCACATATCCTTTTGTCAGGAAGACATCCCTTGACACCTTTATTTGTTCAGGCATGGTTGCATTCCACATTGGAGATGGGTTTTGTGTCTGGAGTATTGTGTTTCAGGTAACACCTTCCTGGTATCTGTGGCAGGACAGGTGATGTCAGGTTTGGCACCTTAGAGGGGTGCTTGGTGTGTGTGGTGGCTCATCTGAAGGATTATGGAACGATTTAAGTACTTAACCTGAGGTACCACTGTAGTACCTAGGGTTAAGAACTTTGCTTCAGGATGAGAACAGAAATCGCATGGCAGAAGCAGCAGCAGCGGGAGGCTCCATTAGCTAAAGTGGTACCTCAGGTTAAGAACAGTTTCAGGTTAAGAATGGACCTCTAGAACGAATTAAGTTCTTAACCCAAGGTACCACTGTACTGTGTATGACCAGTCCTGGAGTGACTTTCTTCCTGCCGAAATGCATGTATCACACACACATCTAGGTATAACTCACTTCTGCACAGTGCTGCACACCTTCCGGCATTTCATAAGGCCTTTAAATAAGACTGTGAGACAAAGATGGAACCAGTGCCAAAAAAAAGGGTGGTGAGGGGGAGCGCAGTGCATTCTCCATGATGGTCATGTCCCCTACTCTCCATAGGACAGCCCTTTATTCAGAGGCTGGTCTGGTCCAAGTCTGATTTAAAGGTAAAGAGGCACAAGCAGGGAGACCACCTTGAGAGCGGACTAAGCAGGAGCATAGATCACCTGGACCAGTCTTCTCAACTATGGTGTGACATACCTCTGTTTCAATTGTAGTTCTCTCTTCTAAATCTGCATCTAAATCGGGTCAGCAAACTTTTTCAGTAGGGGGCCGGTCCACTGTCCCTCAGACCTTGTGGGGGGCCGGACTATATTGGGGAGCGGAATGAACGAATTCCTATGCCCCACAAATAAAACCCAGAGATGCATTTTAAATAAAAGGACACATTCTACTCATGTAAAAACATGTTGATTCCTGGACTGTCCGCGGGTCGGATTTAGAAGGCGATTGGGCTGGATGTGGCCCATGGGCCTTAGTTTGCCTACCCAGGATCTAAATATACAAATTAACCCACCCCGCTCTCTGAGTGTTAGATGACTCGCCTTTGGGCAATATGTAAGAGGGCAGCCCAACACAGTTCCCTTTGTAGCTTTTCCGGCTCTATGTACAAAGCAGCTGCTACCTGGCAACTTGTATTTAACCACTCAGCTGGTGACAAAGAACTCCATGCATCCTCTTGCAAAGCTAGTTCCCAGAATTCCCTAGGAAGGTGGTTAAGCTCCTCTGGGAACTGTAGTTCTTTGAAAGAAATAGGGGGCTCCTGGCGATTTTAGTACCCTGAACAAACTACAGTTCCCAGGATTATTGGGGGGGGGGGAGCCAAAACTGTTTGAAGTCAACCTATCAGTAGTGGCTGGAGCCCGCTGAGACTGGTAGGTCAGAAGGTGGAGAGGTTAACAGCAGGGGAGCCAGAACCAATAGCAGAAAGGCCCAAGTAATTATAGTTTTGCCTCCAGAACCTCCTTCCTGCTGAATTCTATGAAGGCAGCAGTGAGGAGGAGGAGGAGGAGGAGGAAGCTGGAAGGCAGTACCACTCCCTGGGCTGGATGGAAGTAAGAACACAGGTGAGTAGGTGCTGGCCAAGGGCAATTGCCCAAATGGAGAAGCCTCCACTGACTCTGGCCGGGGTAATGCAATGGCAAAATACAATGCATTTCTGGGACATTTTACGCTTGTTTCCAGAAGTAAACAAGAAATGGTAACTGACTAAAGTTTGGGGGTGTTATGGAGGCGACAATTTGTAACCATGTTCTAGAAGGGCTACCCTGTAGGTTTACTTATGTGTAATCTGTACCATGAAAAATGCACTTGGGGTAAGTGTCTTACCCCAGAAAACTGGATGAAGGTTTGGCGGTTCAGAAATGCTTTTAACGAAACAAACAAATGACAACTCAGAAGGAAGCCCTGTTGAAATCTGTGGGGCTTACTCAAAGGTAAGTGAATATAATATCGCAACCCTAGAAATCTAGTTATCATTCCTCCCTCTCTTTCCCAGCCCCACCTAATGAACCATTTCACTAACAACATACCAGAAGCTTCCTCCCCCCATTGTCTGTTAAATGTTCTTGGAATAGCAATCGAAACCCTGCTGTTTGCAGATGGTCTTTTCTCTCTGACACATTTAGCTTCTTCCTCCAAAACTGGGGCTAAGTTCAAGCCTGGATTTCTCTTAATATCCTGTACATTTCCCAATAAAGCAAGTTGCTAAAAGCCAAACAAAATTCACTCCACAGAGCATCAAGAGACTTCAAAGAAGGGCAGGTTCTCAGTGTGACCTGTTACTGTGTTTGTCACTGTAGTTTTGCCTTCAAGTGATGTCAGAATATAGTCCGGGATTTGAGAAAAGAATGTTAAATGGTTCATCATGTCCCAAGGCGGCCTTAGGGGAGCTCTTTGACAGAATATGGTTTCCCTATAAACAGAGGGTCTGGAATGTTTGGAATGAAAAGCCATCAAAGTTTGGAGAAGGCAACCCATCCCTCCTCTTAACTAGAGGGAGGATGCTGTGCGTATGAGAGAGAGAAGGAACAACAAGAGTTTTGATTAAAATCAATGGCTGCCCTTAATCCCATGTTTTACCTTCATGGTTGGAGACAATCTTGTTTCTGAATACCAGTTTCTGGAAACGATAGGAGGAGAGAACGCTTGCAGGATTCCCACAGGCAGCTGGCTGGCCACTGTGAGAACAGAATGCTGGACCAGATGAGCCATGGACCTGATCCAGCCTTACTGCAGCTGAAAACTAATCACACCCGCGTAGACACCCACTTACTCTGCACTCCAACCAGCTTCAATCCAAACTGAGGAAAAGAACAACCTAACTGTGTTTTAAGCCAGTAATGTGTACACAAGTTCTTCTTTCTGGGACCCAGAAAAAAAACTTGATGGAAGTGATATGTATTGATCTTTTTTTAAAAAAAATAATACATAGATCTCCCCACCCACCTCTATCTATGCACACACACACCTTTTCAGGATTACAACTGCACTATGAATTATGATTCTCAACCCAGCTTTGATCTGAACCGAGGGAAAAGAGCAACCCAGCCGTGTTTTCAGCCGGTTATGATGCGCACACAACCACAAAGTATTCTGCATGCATCTCTGTGAGAATTTTTGTCCCTGACTGGCCCCATCTACTGGAAATCGGAGGTGAAGAGAGAGCTCTTTTGACAGTCAGCCAATGAACTACAAAGATGAAGTGAGAGGTGGTGGGCAGGCAAACCCACAGTCCAGCCCCTTATAGTAAAGATTATAAAAGCCTCCCCCCCCCAAAAAAAGATGGAACATTTCTGGAAAGGGGACTCATTTG